CCATTCTACTGTTTTTATGGTTCGTTTTGGCGGGTTTTGAAAATTAAATTCTGTGATGATATAGGACAATATGATCACTATCGTAGAAACTGTCTAAAACATAAATTACTGTATCCGAAGAGACTTGAGAAGCAAAAGGTAAGATCCAGGAGAGCAACAAAGCCAACATTGCTTCTATGAGTTAAAGTAACAGTATTAAGAATAAATTTAGAATTCGTATAGCCATGCCACAAAATCATACTGCATTGAGAAATATGACTGGAGGCCCACATCAACTGATGCAAGCTAATATCACTGAAGATGAATACTGCGTCCTACAAGGAGTCTAGAAAGGATTTAAGTAATCTAATATTGAGTCCCCGAGATGCATATAAGTTTGTCAGATAAAAGGAGCTATTATTAATAATGATTTGTTGTACTAAGATTTCGTAGTCTAATGACTGCGTATCTTCAATGGGAATTTGTGTGGCAGATGTATTTGGGTCGGTACTGCTATCAGCAGTCCTCCTCCTGGTCTATCTTGTCTGAAGATGACCTTTCCTGGAAATCGTAAATTATCATTAGGTTCCAAAAAGTTTCCTTATTATCCAGATATATGTCTGCGTAAAGGCAGGAATGTTGAACCAATAAGTTTGTTTTTGATACTTCTACAATTCCATGATAAAAAATGCATAAATATAAAATAAAAAGGAAGATAATAGTTCAAACATTTCTATCCTCCTCTAGAGGAAAAAATTATATTTACAGATGTAGAATGTTTATCTACATTTTTAAGGAGAAAAAACCCAAAAGTTGTGACTTAAACTGCGATTTCAATCCAATCTAAGTTATCCTATATCAATATCATTGGATGTATCATGAATGTTGTGGAATGTACTTGGTACGGATGCGTCAAACTTCTGTAACCTTAAATTCGCCTTTTCCCCGTCTGTTAGGTGAAGATGATTGTTTACTTATTTCTAGGATATTATACAAATGTGTGTGTGTAATTATTGTTTCCATCATCTTTTGCATTGAGTTCATTATGGCTGCAGTATGTCTTTCTAATACTACTTGAAAATTGGCTAATATGTTTTCTAATTGTTTTTCCCTTCAAGTTCTTGTATATTGGGTCCTAGGGATGTTGTCTTTAATGGTGTAAAATAAGTTTCCTTAAATTTTCGTCTTGCCTCTCCCGGAGCTAAATGATGATTGCATTTGAATTCAAGTACTTTTCTTTTTTGTATAAAAGTAGGACAGTTGGGGGAATGAGCCAGGTGATATCCTTTACAATTTGTACATTCTGTAGCATTTATACATTGTCCAGTTTGAGACTCTTCACAATTGATGCATTTTAAATGGCTTGAACAGAATCGAGATAAGTGAGTGAAGCTGAAACACACACATTTGTTCCATTGCCGCGATTTGTCTGTAAACAGTTGTACTCGAAGGTTAAAAAATCAAAATTTTACACATTCTGGTATATTTATGCCTAGAATGGTAATTAAAACGGAAGAAACTTCTTGACGACTGCTAGGTTTTATAAAACATCTCATTTCAACTAGTTCAAGATCATTTGCATTTTTTAGATCTGTTGTCACATGTACAGTAGTTGGAATATCAAAAAGCAGGAATCGAGAGGTTAACCTTTCCCATTTAATATTAGCTTTTACTGGCATGTTTAATATTTGATCAGCACATACAGAGTCTGAGCTACTGATTCTTATCTTACCGCTTCGAGTAAAATACATATTCGTTATACTGTCATGTTTAGGCATTTTGCTTTATATTTCAGCATGTAAAAGGTGGGGATTCGATTTTGGGATACAAGCTGCTTTTTCTGAATGTTCAAGTAAAATTGAGATTTCAGTAATATTTTTATTGCCAGTTCGTAAAATTTGTTCCTGGTCAGTTTTAAAGCTCCTAAAATCTGCAGCTCCTGCCATATTTTTTCCCATTATAGTGAATGTATCACCAATATCCGTTAACCGGAAGGAGGAGTGACTCAGCTCTTGAGTCTCCATCTGGTAAAATGAATATGAAAAAATAAATTGGTTAACCTACCAAAGCTCAAATAATAAATGAAGATATGTCACTAGTACCTCTTTCTTAGAGGTCTGACAAAAAATATTAAACAAAGGGAAACCCAAGTCCAGCAATTAGGGCCGGTTTTCTCTATAAAGGGTCCCGGGTACAAGAAACCATTTGAGGCTCTAAATGTCTTCTAAAATAAATAAAAAAAATTACAAACTAGAACACATATATTACTAAGGCCTGTTTATTTAGTGCGTGATTTTGTTTTTGCTAATACATTGATTGTTTCAGAAAAGTTACAATATTTTGCAATTTCTTTTTCGATGCTTTGTATAGCAAATGCATTTAAGCGTTCTGCACATGTGTATGACCACGAAGATAACTCTATTAATTTTAATTTGCTGAAAGACAGATCAGCACTTGCTATAGTAACTGGCAACGTCAAGAAAAGTTTTAACTCAGTTAATACATTTAGAAATAACTCATTACAATTATTATTTAGTATGCATTACAATATACAATGATGGAAAAAAATACCAACACCAAGAAAGTTTGATGTTAGGTAATCGAAATTTGTGTGGTAGGCGTGTGTTTATACATCTGAAATATGGCATCAATTCAAATTTCGCGCTTACTCAGAACTCGCAAATCAGGGTTGCCTTAAATGCGTGCTGTAAAGTTTCTGAGAGTTATTTGTCTGTGAAATTTGACGCATTGAGTTGGATGTTGCCCAAGAATGCATTTAAAAAAAACGAAGAAGCCATTATCAACAATTCACCGAGTTTGAACAAGGTCGTGTTATAGGGCTACGAGAAGGTGGATTTTCTTTCGGCTATATTGCAGAAAGACTTGGTCGGAACGTATTCGCTGTGCATGATTGTTAGAAGTGATTAAGGGATGGCACTGCCTCAAGAAGACCGGATTCCGAGCGGCCAAGTGGCGCTACTAAGAGGAATGATAGGCGTACCGCTGGGGCACATCATACTATGTCTGTGGCAGAAATTCGAGCTGCAGTTGGTACTATAGTGACACAAGAAATTATTAGAAATTGGTTACTCCAAGGAAAGTTCTACGCCAAGCGTCATGTAACGTGTATTCCACTGACTCCAAGCCATTGCCGTTTGTGACGCCCGTGGTGTCAAGCCATAGCTCTTTGGAGGACGGAGTGGAGATCTGTTGTGTTTTTTGATGAAAGCAGGTGCCAGTGATGGCCGTGTGCTGATCAGATGGAGACCAGGGGAACGCCTGCAACCAAAATGTCTGCTGTCTAGACACACTAGACCTACACCCCTGGAGTCATGGTTCGAGGAGCAATTTCCTATGACAGCAGGAGCACTCTCGTGTTCACCCCAAACACATTGATTGCAAATTTGTACGCCAGCCTGGTGATTCATATGTCTGGTGATATTGTCATTCATGAACAGCATTCAAGGGGAAGTTTTCCAACAGGATAACGATCACCCTCATATCACTGCTGTAACGCAACGTGCTGTACAGAGTGTTAAGATGTTACCTTGGCCTGCGAGCTCACCATATCTGTCTCCAATTGAGTACATATGGGATATCATTGAACAATAACTCCAGCATCATCCACAGCCAGCACTGACCGTCCCAGTATTCTCACAAGTCCAACAAGCATGGACCCTCAGGGGGCTCACCTTCTTTAGGTGAGTACGGGTGTCACAATCCCGAGGTGCCCTAGTGATCTTTTCCCACGGGGTTTACTGTCTTTGGTAAACACGGGCGTCACGAACCCGGGGTACCCTAGTGATCCTTCTCTATTTCGACCCTCTTTCTTGTCATTCAATTCATTCTTTCTTTTTCTCTTCCCGTCTAGACCACAGATATTAAAACAAATGTTTGGCGCAGTATAGCCGAAATCGGCTCTCGCGCCAATAAACCCCAAAATCACTCACTCACCCACTCTAGGCACCTGTATGACATAATGCATGCACGCTTGCAGTCAAAATTCTAGAGGTGACTCTGGGTATTAATGTAACAGCATTTCACATTTGAAATGCATTTTTTTAGCTTAAATTAACCTGTGATCTTGAAAATTTAATCAATTAAACATGTTAACTAGATAATTGCCATACCAAAATTTCATTACTCTACAATAATTTTTTCTTGGTGTTGGCATTTTTTGTTTCTGTCAGTGTAATTTCGAAATCCTTCAACCTGATAAATCTTATCATCGAAGAAATAAAAAAGCAGGCCGCAAATTAGTTTGTCAACATGATACGGACTTAACGCACAATATCTTTTAACAATTAATTCCCTTAAAAACTGTTTAAAATCTGAAATTTTCAGAAAATCCATTCTATCAAGGAGCTCGTTGAATTATTGTTCTTTTAATTTCAGTAATTTCGCCTCCAGTTTTCCGAATGTTATTACAGCATGCCTGCTACTTTTGACCCTTCCGGTCACAACTGCAACAGCTGAAATAAATTTTTCTAAGCTAAAAATTATTTTAGAACATTCACATGACAAGATCGGTTATCGAATTTAGCAATATTGTCGATTGAAACAGATGAACTTAAAAACTAGCATCCTTTTCTGCTATGAGTGTAAATGTAAATGCGTTTGCCGTAAAAAAAAAAATCGTGAAAGGCACCTAATAAACAACTAGGCTAATTGTTATGTAAAAAACTATTTTAATATGTATGCGAATATAAACAGCGGTGTTTTAGAATGTGAAGCTATTCAAAAAAGAATGCATAAGAAATCCCTTTTTCAATTCCTACTATTAGTTCACACACTTTCCATATATTTATATATATCCTGTTCAAATTTTCAATCGTTAATAAAAATACTTTTTATTCATCTACTCAAGTTCAAATACGTTTTTTTTAAACTTGTAGTGGATGACACTTGATGCTAATACAGTTTTTCAAATATTAATTCATTAAATTAAAAAATGAATAAAAATAGTAACAAACAAAAATAATAGTCCAACAGCATATATAGAAAGAAAACTCATTTATTGTGTCCCTGTAGCACAATGGATAGCGTGTTGGACTGCTAATCCAAAGGTTGTGGGTTCCACCTGGGATGGCCTAGTTTCTGAGAATGTGATATATTTTTTTACTGTACTATTTTATTAGAGTAATTAAATTTAATTGATGAATAAATAGTAACAAAGAAAAAAAATAGTCCAACACCATATATAGAATGGAAAATTGCAAGGAAAATAGCTTTTTATTATTTAGCTGTTTAATAAAAAGTAACTAAAATAAAAAATTTCTTTGTTGACCTAATTAGGAATTGACTAATTTTTTTTTTTATATGTTACTTGTTTCCTTGTACAACAAAAATGAACGTTTTAATCAATACCGTATTTCGATTTGTTCGTAGATCGCAGCAAATTTTTAAAAATGAAAACTTTAGATTTGTTTGTAAATCGTAGGCAATAAAAACATTATTGATAGCATTTGATTATAATTTCAGAACTTAAAACAAGAATAAGCAATCACAAAATCTTTTTTCAAAGAAATTCGTATTTCGGTATGAACTTTTCTTTTATTCTTATATTATTTTACGAAACTTCGTATTAAGCAAGATTTCTAAAATGCTACGATTGTATAGAAAAAAAATATTTTTTAAATGCAACAAATGGGAAGTAAAAAATTAATTAAAAATGATGATTTGAGGAAGTCTTAATGCACATAAAATATTGAAAAATTATTCAAACCGTTTTACATTACAAAGTATTTACGCAAAAACTACAATAATGCACATTTATAATATTTCTATAAAATTAGATTTCCGAAGGGAAACAAAACCTGAAAACATGCTCTTTCTTTCAGTGCGGCTTATGTACTACTATATCCATTATATATATATATATGTATAATACAAACTATAAACACATTTTTAGACTTCGGAAATTATACTTTTTTTCGTTATTGAAAACCGTTTTGCTCCACTGTATTTCATCTAATTACAATAATCAAAAGTATTAAAAAAAAAGGAACTGGCAAAGAATGTAAAAAATAAAAACTCATTTCTAAGATTATTGATTTATAAATTTAATACAATAAAATAAAGTTTTCCCCAGTAGAAAGATTTATCTTGTAAAAAAATAATTATCAAAATAAAGTTGAAGTTGCAATATTTCTCCTACAGACAAAAACACATTAATGTAGAGAGCAAAAAAAAAGAATTTTAAATTTGTGATTTTAGTTATAAAAATTCATTCTGGACCATTGTTTTTCATTGCAGAACAATTATTAAAAATGAACAACAAAAAAAAAGAGTTCTAACTGGGAAAGAATTTGAAATATGAAAAATCATCTCTTCAGTCGATCTATTAATTTATTATAATAAAGCAAACTTTTTCTACACTTACCAGCTTTGCTTTATACATAAAAAAAAATATTAGCAAAAATAATAATAAAATTTAACAAAGCAATTTTTTTCATATTCAGAAAACAAATTTAAGAAAAAGCAAAAAAAGAAGGGGGAAAATCAAATTTAAATTCTCGATTCTAGTTTCAAAAATTGAATTTCTGCGATGTATTTTTTATTTATTTATTTTGAGATATTGAACAACAATGGCTATTATCCACAAAAAGACTAAAGAAATATTTACAATTTAGTAGATATCAAATTATTTCATCTTCTGAACAAAAAATCTATAACGATGTTGATCCATAACGATGCATAAAAATTGATGAAAACGATACATAAAAACATAAGCAGAATTGTTTTATTAAAAAAAGGAGAAAAAAAATCATATTTACTTCTGAAAAAACAAACAGGAAGAAATAAATTCATTGTTGTGTTGGCAATTACAAAATATATATTATTAGGAATAGAGAGAAGCAGGAGAAAAAAAATTTATAGCTGTTATTGGCACATTGGAAAATAGAAATTTATACCTTCGATGGCAATACTGAAATAAAGAATTTAAAGGGGAAAACGGAAATAAGAAATTGAAATAATTTTAAAAATAAAAGGAAAGAAAAACATTTGTCACTTGATGGCAAAAAGTTAAAAAAGACAAACAACTTCTCTTGTAACACTGTAGTAGTAAAATTAAGGAATTCGAATAAATATAAGTAATTTTACATTTGAAAAATAAAAATCAGTAGTGATTCAGTTGTAACGTTTAAGTATAAAGTATATTTATGCTTTATAAAAATTAATCGTTAAAATTATTTTTTATTTATTATTAAAATTTAATTTAAAATTAGTTTAGACTTTTTAAAAAATTTTCTTGAAAGGAAAAATATTCATATCTTATACGTTTTTATCTGTGTATACTATGTATTCATTGAAATTCTATTTGTAATTCTTTTATCTTTGTATACTTACTTATTTATAAATTCTTTTCTTATATTTATCCTGGATTCTTAATTCATTAGTACATTATTAAATGTGCCAAAAAATTGTATAATGTTGTAAAGTTGTTCAATAATAATCTTTTCCATTAGTACATACGTTAGGACTAGGAATATTAACTTAGAAAATATTATAAATGTTCCTTTTAATTTTAAAACTTGTTTAAAGTTGGTTTTCTGTTCCTCAAAGAGAGTTTTTTTTTTTTTTTTTCATTAGACGATTCCGAAATAAAACTTTTTTTTTTTTTGTACTTAGTTTTGAAACTAGCATTTTTTGTCATAAAAGCAGAAGGTAAGATTATAAGTTAAAATGGGTTATCAATGAAAGGTAATAAGTTTTTATAAATTTAAATGAAAATGTATTCGATAAATAACATTAGAAGATTTTGCAGCACAGATCTATCTCTTTCATCTAAGTATATTTTATTTGCACTAATTAAATGTATTCAGAAACTCCTCTATGTATGTAAATCTACCTATATTTCCGTGCGGAAGCCGAAAGTTGCTGTTAAAGTAAGGGGTTTAATTATATACTGATCTCTGTGTGTGTGTGCTAATTTCGGGAAAAAGTAGCTTAAGAAAAACAATTTTTTTAATATGTTCCGTTATCCATGCACAAGTTATTTTAACCACTTAACTTTCGGGGTGTTTTAAATGAAATTTTATTAAAAATGTCATATAAATCCTCGAAGTCAATATCCAATTCCGAATACTTCTTAAATCGTGGCTTTGATTTATAAAAATTTTATATACCGTTTCTTTGTTTAATATTTTTTATACCCATTGTTCTTCGAAGAAAAATATATGCCTAACAGTTTGATGGTTGTCAAACTGTTAGGCATATAATTTGATATTGTCACTCAATTGTTTTTTTTTATAGAGTTTTATTAGTAACATATCTAATATGGTTCCACATAGGGGCGTAAGTGCAAAAAAATATTTAAGGCCCTAATTTTTATGCAAAATAAAAAATTATTAATACCAACAAATATTACTAATGGATATTTTTTAACGCATGATTTTGTTTTCGCTAGTACATTAGTGATTTCTGAAAAATTACTCTTTTTTTGCAATTTTGCTTCGATGTTTAATATAACAAGTGCTTTTCAGCGTTCTGCACACATGCATGACCGAAGATAATTCTTTATTAATTTTGATTTGCTGAAAATGGACTCAGCACTTGCTATAGTAACTGGCAATGTAAAAAAAGTTTTTTAACACAGCTAAGACATTTAGAAATAGCTCATTATAATCATAGTTTAGAATTTATTGCACTGTCTTATGTGTTATTTACATCCCTTTCATTCAAAATCCAAACCCGTAGCAAACCATTTTCCTGGATTAGGTTTTCCCACTTCTGCATCTTTTTAATATTACTTACAAAGTTTTCGAACCATTTTTCTAAGGTTTTTGATGTGTAACATCTTTCCTCTCCGGTGCTGGATATTTGTAGGAGTGATTTCGTGAAAAGGGACGGAAATGTGTAACAGGAAGTCGGAGAAGCGCGTGTTATTTGATTTGACCAATCAGCGCGCTTGGTGGTGTCTCTTCGCTACCCTCGTGTTGTTGTCCAACTCTAGTAGCCATCAAGCCGCCAGCCTTTTTTATACTGTTAAATTAAGCATTTCAAAAGATTTTAATTCAAAAACTTGGTTTCGTTTTCTTGACTCTAAATCCACTCCGCACATACCACTGCAAGTCTTACATTAGACTTCATACAGTATAAGCTTGCGATTCTTGCGCTCAATTGTCAAAGTCTCAGGGCTCGTTGTGTATAAAATCTGAGGTTATATTTATATGTATAAACTATATTAATAATTATATTTTCTGTTAAGCGTCTGACAAAGTTCATAATTTTTAAAAAATACGAGTAAGTAATATGGAATTATTTGAATAAATATTTTAGTGAGTATCTTTTTCATACTTTGAGGTTAATTCCTGTCGCTTTCAATATAATATTTTTAAGTGTGATTAAGAAGTTTTCTCGATTAAAAAAGGCTAACTAATTAATTACACGGGTAATTTTGGATTTTCTCTAATATTTCTAATTTTGAAACATTTACCAAGCTAATTAAATTTTCATGATTTTATAATTTGCAGAGATGGGTAAATCCAGAACTGAATATATGCGAAATTATCGGTAAAAGAAACGTGAGAAAAAATTAAAAACTGGAGGAGTACAGCCGGAAAAAAAATTGCACATAGCTCAACTCAACGCAGCGGTGATTTTCGAGCAAGTGCTGCGAACACAATTCTCTCACAAACATCAGCGACCGACCCAACTACTGCTTTACCAAATCTATTTGTCAGTTACACAACTTTACAATTGTCATCATTGCCACTATCTCATGCTGCATCTTCATCAATAGCGTCTGTTTCCAATACAGGCCCTGCAGAAATTCATCCGCGTCCTGCCGATGCCGAACAAGAAAGAGTGGTTAGAGATGTTAAACAAGTTGAAAATCATGCAAATAACTCGACGGTTTGTCAGTATCACGTTTATGAGAAATTCAGCACCGCTCATGATGAGTTTAAAACCAAATTTTTGGAAAATAATTTTGGTGCGTGATTGTCTATGGTACGAAAATAATATGAAAAGACTGCTCCTACGTGCAAAAGAACTTTTCTCAGCTGAATTTCCAGATATCAATTTTGAAATTGCTTCCGTATGCGCAACGTGTCATTTAGCACTCAATAAAAATAAAATTTCGT